CAAGCCATGCTCTCTCTGCCACACTGATACCGCCTTTCTCTTAAATCATTTATACAAATGGTCTGTAACATACAACTCAGCCTGGTCGTATTTTGTTCTAAGCACAAGATTCCACAAGTGATGCTGAAGGGCCAAGGACCACAGGCTCTGGGCATGACCCCTTCATAGATACGGTCTTACCTTCATCTGAGCATTCTGCATTTCTAGTCCCCTGACTAGGTATGCAAACTCCTTGAAGGTAGAAAACAGACTTTTACTTGTTACTAGTCCTTAAAGTGTGGCATAGAGAACAGACCTTCAGAAGGAAAGCAGATAAATAAAGTAGTACATCTATACATGAATGTTCAGGGAAGAAGTACCAGATGCTCAACCCATTTAGTAATCAGGGAAATGTACAACGAGGTGCCATTATACACCTACTAGATCAGCAAAATTATTGGCCAATAAGTGCCAGCAAAGAAGTAGAGAAGTAGAAACTAATATAGTACTGTTTGGAGTATAAATTGGAACAAACATTTTGCATATCCTACTATTCGGCAAATTTCTCTCCTGGGTATATACTCTAGAGAAATTCTTCGACTTGTGTATCAGGTATAAGAATGTTCACTGTAGCACTGTTTATAAAAGCCAGAAACTTTAGAAAACAAGTTGAAATATTTACCGTCAGGAAAATAGACAAATGTGATAATATACATGATGGAAAATACTACAGCTTTGAAAATGAACAAACTATAGCTACATACATCAACATGGGTGAGTTTCCAAACAATAATGCTAAAAAAATTCAAGTGTAGTATAATGTATATAGTATAATTCCATTTATATTAAGTTCAAAATAGTCAAAAGAGTCAAAATATATTTAGGGACAAATACCTAAGTGGGAAAACTATAAAGCAGGAGAATGAATATCACTAATATCACTGATTGCTAATTATTTAAGAATTAATATTACTAACCACTAATGAACATCAAAAATGTAGATAGCTGTGGGTTGGGAAGATATGATCAGGGAGGATAATACAGGGGATTTTTTAAGCTCTCAGTAATGTTCTATTTTTTAACCTTTTTGGTTGATAATTATACTGTAAAATGTACATATACATTTTATATGTTCTTATTTATGTGTGCTTAACAATATAAAAGTAAAAATTTTAAAAAGAAAGCTCCCATGACATATAGTTAACTGAAAAAAATCAAGTTACAAAACATGAACATGTACTATGATGCCATTGTGAAAAAAATTAAACACTGGTCTACCTAAAATTTTAAAAAATAGCTATTTATTTATGCATTTCCTACTCATGCACGTTTAAGCCACTCTAAGTAAAAAATATTGGCAAATACCTTTGTTGGGACATTTTAGCGTACTTGTCTCATTATCTCCTTAGGATACATTTCTAGAAATTGAACTGCCTTCTTTTTTTTTTTTTGAGACGGAGTCTCTCTCTGTCGCCCAGGCTGGAGTGCAGTGCTGTGATCTCAGCTCACTGCAACCTCCACCTCCCAGGCTCAAGTGATTCTGCTTGCCTCAGACTCCCAAGTAGCTGGGATTACAGGCACCCACCACCACGCCCAGCTGTTTGTTTTGTATTTTTAGTAGAGACGGGGTTTCACTATGTTGGCCAGGCTGGTCTTGAACTCCTGACCTTGTGATCCACCCGCCTCGGCCTCCCAAAGTGCTGGGATTACAGGTGTGAACCACTGCGCCCGGCTGAAATTGAACTGCCTTCTTACTGGGACTTTTAGGCCATATCCCCTTGTATAACAAGACATAAGCATTACTGATGATTGCACAAAGCTTACCAAAGGATTTAATAGTGTCTAAGACTTCTGTAATGTAATGACAAAGCATCAGAAACAGTGCTTTTCCTTGTGTGAGAAGATTGGCAGGGGACCCGCAGGCAGGGACAGACTGACGATGTAAGGATGTGCCCGTTCACATTTTCCCCCTTCTAAGAGAAGAGCCTTCCTTTTCTGGAGAATATAAAGAAATATGCTTAGCTGGACCTTTGCAGAGCTGCTTCTCAGTTTGCCTGATCATCTTTGGATAGGACACAGTTTTCTTCCCCTGGAGTCAGGGTTGCTGTTTCTTAACATGCCTAGCTTAATTGGCACACCTGAGTTTCAACACAGTCACCTTTGTTTACATGTTTGACCCTATTTCTTTTCTTTTACCCCATTAGTTTATCTTGAAAGTTATCACTTACTTTGTGAATCAACTGTCATTGGAGCGTGACACTTGCTAATGGTGATGGCCCTTTTATGGATAGTTAGGGGAAAGGGAATGAGCAACAGCTTAATGCCTACCACGTGCCAGGCATGTGCCAAACATTTGCCACATACATTCATTGATCTTCTGCAGGATGATATTCTCATCCCTCTATTACTGACGAGGAAACTAAGGCTGAGAAGGCTTGATTACCTTGTGCAAGTTCACAGACCAATAAGCTTCAGGGCCTTGCTGTTGCCTGCCTGTCAGTCGGTGCTCTTCCTTCTTCCCACCACAGCGCCGCATGCCTACGAGAAGGAAGGCTTGCCTCCACGGGTCTTCACATCCCTACCAGACAGCTCTATTTACCTGCCCATGGAAGTGCCTCTCAATCTTATGTTAAAAGGAGGTCTCTTACCAAGCAGGCTATTTGGTTAAGAAGACTTCAGGCCGGGCGCGGTGGCTCACGCCTGTAATCCCAGCACTTTGGGAGGCCGAAGTGGGCGGATCACCAGGTCAGGAGATGGAGACCACCCTGGCTAACATGGTGAAACCCCGTCTCTACTGAAAATACAAAAAAATTAGCCAGGCGTGGTGGCGGGCCCCTGTAGTCCCAGCTACTTGGGAGGCTGAGGCAGGCGAATGGCGTGAACCCGGGAGGCAGAGCTTACAGTGAGCTGAGATCGCGCCACTGCACTCCAGCCTGGGTGACAGAGGGAGACTCCGTCTCAAGGAAAAAAAAAAAAAAAAAGAAGACGACTTAAGAGATGGCACAGTTATAGCAGTGCTGTGCCATGGAAGGCTATGGAAAAGCTGAAGCTGATCAACTGGATCTCTAGACTCCTTGGCCACTTAAGCCCTGGAAACACTGTGTGACTCGAACATGGAAAACTAGTTTAAGCAATATTGTACTGGACTGTCTGGTCTAAATCAAATACACGCAGTACCTTCCGATAACATCTTCTGTCCCTGTTAAACTAACAGAAGTCTATACAAGTATTTGACGGGCAGCAAGTGGCTTTCCTGAAGAGGCGAGGGAGAAAAGTCCCAGAAACCAGAAGAAGGTCTGTATTAACCAGCTTTAAGGCCAGGAGGAAAGAGTTACTCTATTTACAGCAGAGACTCCATCTCCTTTTTAGGTTGAGGTAGAGGGACACTCACGGTGTGTTGATCACCAAGCGGTCCCACTGCCCCTTGATGTCATCTTCAGATGGCTGTTCGGTGATATATAGGCCATCAAACTCCAGCTTCCTGGCGATTTCTTTTTCCCTTTTGAATACCACCAAAGGCACCTACGAGTGGGAAGACAATGGTTACTCAGAGCAGGCTTTGTGATTAAAGCACGTGCTCCCAGGTCTTTGTCACAAATTAACCTTCCAACTTCAGAGCAGCAATCTCCTTATAGTGGAATTATTAGGGTGCCTAGTTGTGGGATCAAAGCCCAATGAATCTCTTTGGCTAAATACCCCTACCTCTTTAAACCTGATCTAATTTGGGTCGCTCTTTAAGTTTTCAGTTAGACAGCTAATATTCATACAAACTAGACTCCCTGACCGATGCTAGTGTGCAGGCCATGCCCGGGCTGAATGAGTTAGGACTCCTAAGACTCCTCGGCTGGAGGTGAACCAAGATTTAGAAAGGACAATAAACCATTCTACGGGATGGATGCCACAGGAATAGGATGAAATGTTCCAACTCCCTTCAATGTACAGGGCCATATTTATCTCATGGCTTGGAAGGTGAGTTCATGAAACATGGTTTCATAGTTAGAATGAGAGGATTCAGTCTTTCTGTATTCAAGTTTTCTTCCTGAGATTCTGTCCACAAAGAGCTCCTTCCAGGTAGTGGCATACTTGTTTCCTACTATCACTGTCCATTCTTTTATAATCGGAACTTTTGTTTTAGACTAGATACAGTGGTATGGCTATAAGGACCTACTGCCAAAGGGGAACCCAGAAAGGGATTGGAAAATAATCCACTTGCCCCAGCCATCACTAAGTGCACACACACTCCAAGCATGGGACAGTTAATGAGGCCAGAGGATATTGCTGAAATCCTAGGAAATGAGAAGTCACAATTGACACAGCTCCTCCAGCCAGAGAAGCTTAATTCAGACAGAGCTAGGGCGTCTCATCTCGTCATCTCAGCTGAGATGCCACTGGCTACTTGGCGACATCCTTGAAACCTTCATCTCCAAACCCATGATATGCATGTACCCCACATCGCTTTTGTCCAAAACAAAAGAACAAAATGCAGATAGTGATTTGTAAAGAGTTACCTCTTGCCCTGTTTTTCTTTAAAACAATGAAATAACACTGATAAAATGAAAAACTCACGATAGGAAGGTGGCCAAGGCTAGCAGCCACTGCACACTGTGAGGACCTGATGATGACTGTTAGTGCACAGATGATGTGGGAGGTGAGGCAAAGCTCAGTGAGCGACCGACTAATGCCTGCTGTGCTCTGAGTGACTCTGAAGAACAGCAGCAATATCAAGTTGCAGAGGGGTGCTCATCTCTGGGATTCCAAACATTCCCCTTCAATCTTCTAGAAGTTTGTATACTCTCGTAAACAGAACTTCCACATTCTTTACTTGCTAGTGTTTCTTTTTTGTTTTCTCCAGGTCACAGTATAATCTGTACTCCATCTAATAAGCTGAACTCTAGGATCACGAACTAAGGAGCAGCAGCGAACGTGCTTGAGGGTTTACTACGTGTTATGAGTACATTTACACATACTACTACATTTAATCGCCCCAGCAACTTTAGCAACAATACTCATTTTTTTAAAGATCGATTTGTATTTCCCTTTTATTATATAAATTACCAATAAAATCCTGACCTGGGAATCAAAAATTTAATATAACCTCAGTTTAACACCATTAAATAAGCTAACTCACAGAGTCATACTGGAATGTTACCCAAATAATAAAGTAGGCAAATGGCCAATTATTACATTCCCTATTTCAAAAAAGAGGCATTAAGCATTCACGTCATAAGTTTATTGACAAACATATCTAGTATGCCACAGAGTTAGAGTTTGATCCATTTCCAGAGGCTGCATCTCTTAAAATGCTCTTCATATCTGTTAAATGGATGAACTGAAACATCCTTATGTTTTAAGCAGTTGGTGTCTTACTAGAAGGAAGGGTGTAGCAAATACAGATCCAAAGTACAAACACATCTTAGCTAGTAACGTCCACTTGTTTTCCACTGAAAATGGCAAATTCTTCCCAGGGCCCTCCTCAGAGTGGCTCCTACAGACCACAGAGGTTGTGAACCTCCGGACACTCTGGCCCAACATAGCGCTGCTGGAAGCTCTGCGAAAGGCGCAGACCGAGGACGGATGAAATGGCGGCACCTCACTAAGACCTTGTTTTCATGACCTTGTTCCCCCCTCCGTGCTCAAGGACCAAAAGGAAAGATGGGAAAATAACAATACTCATTTTTACGGATGAGAAGATAGAGGACTGGGAGTTTACGTGGCAGAGTTGTGAGTTCAACCCAGGCAGCCTGGCTCCAGAATTTGCAATGGAGTCCTTAGTGTGGCCCAGGGCACAAGGTCTCTTCAGCATGGTAGCTGGACTTCCTACATGACACTACAGTTCACTGGGGGAAGAAAGGACCACAATATAGGAAAATATTTCCTGGACTCTTCCCAGGAAGAAGATGGCTTGCTGTACTTAAGGAGATTTCCTACTCAAGAGAAGGAAGAAACACATGTAATGAGAAAAGCAGTGAGAAAAACAAAATTATGATGTAGCAGAACTAGAACTGGACTTGGGACACCAAAAATTGAATGACTGGAGATTGACATAACTGTAGTGGTTCTGAATATGGCCCCAAGGAACCATGCCTCCTGGAATTCATGCCTTTGTGTAGCACCTCTCCCCTCTACCATGCAGCAGTGAATCTGGGATGGCCACGTGACTTGCCTTAAACCACAGAATGCAATGGAAATGACACTGTGCCAGTTCTGGGCCTAAGACTCAGGAAGGCTTAGCAGCTTCCACCTCCATGCTCTTTTTGGAAACCCAAGCCATCATGCAAGAAGTCTAGCTACCCTACTGGACAGAGCATGTGGAAAGGCCACATGGAGAAGGAGATGCTCTGAATCTACATGGAGAGAGAGAGGGAGCGAGAAAGAGGCCCAGCTACCCCAGCTGAGCCCATCCTTCCAGTTGTCCCCCCATGGAGCTGCCAGGCATGGGAATGTGCCATCTTGGCCATTCCAGCCCAGCTGAGCTCACAAATGGCTGCAAATGTAGCCCCTTTACATACAGCAGAGGAACTGCCCAAATGTGCCAGTCGTCTCACAGAATCAGAGAGGTAAACAGTTGTCATTTTAGACCACTAAGTTTTAGAGTGGTTTGTTATGCAGCAACAGATAACTGAAAACTAACACGTCAGTAAGCTTTCTTCTGAGATCTTGGTTACCACCTAATGAAAAGGTATTTTTATAAAAATTTTGACATCAATTCAAAGATCAGAAGACTCATAACTAGCTCTCATGTGACTTAGCCTGATGACTCTAGTTCTATGAAATTCAACAAGAGGTACCTGAAATGGGACTCCTAGCGCAAGGCTTCTTGAACTTGAAAGTGCGTACAAATTGCCCAGTGATCATGCTAAGTGGTAGATTCTGAGTTAAAAGACTTGGGGGCTGGGCGCAGTGGCTCACGCCTGTAATCCTAGCACTTTGGGAGGCCGAGGCAGGTGGATTACCTGAGGTCGGGAGTTCAGGACCAGCCTGGCCAACATGGTGAAACCCTGTCTCTACTAAAAAATACAAAAATTAGCTGGGCGTGGTGGCAGACACCTGTAATCCCAGCTACTTGGGAGGCTGAGACAGGAGAATTGCTTGAACCCGGGAGGCGGAGGTTGCAGTGAGCCGAGATGTTGTCACTGCACTCCAGCCTGGGAGACAAGAGCGAAACTCCATCTCAAAAAGAAAAGACCTGGGATGAGGCCTGAGACTCTGCAGGTCTAGGCAGCTCCCAGGTGATACGCTGCTGCTGCTCCACGGAACTTACAAAGACCTTTACAAATAGCAAAGTCTTCGAGCAAAGGGCTGGCTGGGCTCAGAAAGGACACTTCTTCCTCAAGGAGTCAGATTAGATCCAGAGTGGCCAACAGCTCACCTTCAGGCAGTAGTAGCCCACCACACAGACTAGAGAGATGATGGTGTGGATGATGGCCAGGGCCCGCAGCGTTGGTGCCATATACCCAGTGCTCTCCTGAAGGACAAAGAACACCATCGCTTCTTCCTCTTCCTCGTCATTAAATGAATTCCATAGGTTTGCAACATCCTCTGTCTCTTCTTCTAAAGGTTCTTCAGTGACCTGGCCCAAAACACACACTTACTTATTAAACATCAAAAGAACCTCAGCCACTGGGCACTCCTCAAATATTTTATATGGTTAGCATATGCTGTACAAATAGTAGTGACTCAACATTACTCGCTGAATGAATGAGGTTTTTAGGTAACTTATGACTAGGAATCACCCAGTATCTCTAATAATTGCAAACAAACTTTTAAAAAGGAGACAAAAACCTATCTCTTGAAAAGAAAGCAAAAAAATTAAAATTAGGAAACTTACTACATATGCTTATAATCCTTGTGCCACAGAAGGAAATACTCTGATCATGCTGTGGCCTGAGGGGAGGCTGAGACACACACACAAGCACGAAGCATGTCTGTGCCCGCTCCCCCACCCACCACTGCCACCCAGCCAGAGACTCAGTATTTTCCATTCTTTCTGAGATGCCATTTACATTCATGGCTTCAGCTGCTATTCTTACACATATGACTCTCAAATCTACATCTTTGAGGCTTTGTCCTGTAGCTCCAACTGCTTGCTGGCTTTGTCTCCTTGGCTGTCTGTCTGAAGTCACCTCAACCTCACCGTGTTTAAAACCAAGCTTTGCCTCTCTTGGCTATAGACTTCCATTTTTCTTTTATGGGCAACAGAAGGTCATTAGTTTGTCGAGTGGAAAGTTGAGGTGGATAAAACAATGTTTCATACAAATTAGATTGGTGGTTTTAAGTAGAAAGGGAGATAGGCAAGAGATAGAAAAGCCAGTTAAAGACTATGTTGAGAATTCAGGACCCTTCATTAATTCATTGCACTAACAATTATTACATGCCTACAGCATGCAAGACCCACTTGCCAATGTTCAAAACCTTCATTTAACTCTTTTTCCAAATCCTGTGAATTTTTCCTTTATAACGCTTCTAACAAATAGGCTAGCTATAATGCCTCTTGGTTACCTTATTCCTTGAAGAAAGAATGAATTGTGTTTATTATTCATTTTGAAATACCTTGCGGTTCCTAATATAGGGTCTAGCTCATGGTAGATGCTCAGCAAGTATTTGAAGACTAAATTCAAGTAACAACTAAAATAAGCATGAACGATTGAAATAGTCCCCTAACTGGCTCCCTTGTCAGTGGTCTCTCCACTGCTAGAAACTGTATTCCTTTTAGAAGCCAATGTCTTAGAAATTTGCTACCTGTTAGAATGTTTGCTACAATTAAGAACACAAGTTCTGTCATGATTCTTTTTCTACACATAGTATACTTAGTATACAGCATATTTAGCAAATAACCCCTGAATGAAGTGTCACCTTATAAAAAAGCAGGATGAAGTTGATAGCGAAGGCTACAAACAGAGCAAGGAACCTCAGGTTGTAGAAATTCCTGGCCAGGTAATGCTGCAAAGAAAAGGACAGGCAGAGGTAGAAGAGCTTTGGAAGGAAAAGAGAACTTCCTGCTTTTACACAGAAGGTCAATTCTGGTTAGAAGTTCACACATGACTCGTCCTTCTCTTGGATGACCACTCTTCTAGGGCAACCCTGGCATTCTTTTTTTTTTTTTTTTTTTTTTTTGAGATGGAGTCTCCCTCTGTCCCCCAGGCTGGAGTGCAGTGGCACAATCTCGGCTCACTGCAAGCTCTGCCTCCCGGGTTCACACCATTCTCCTGCCTCAGCCTCCCAAGTAGCTGGGACTACAGGCACCCACCAACACACTCGGCTAATTTTTTTGTATTTTTACTAGAGACAGGGTTTCACCATGTTAGCCAGGATGGTCTCGATCTCCTGACCTCATGAACCACCCATCTTGGCCTCCCAAAGTGCTGGGATTACAGGCATGAGCCACTGCACCGGGCCAACCTTGGCATTCTTAACACAGCCATGGCATGACTGTGTCATGTCATGAACATGGAACCAAAATGTTGATTAAAAAAAAAATTGCTTTAGAATTGCTATAAAGAATCCTGCTCTGGCTTATTGCTCAGGGAGCCAAAGGCCTAAACACGCCACCATCAGAGGACTCGAGCCTTGCCTTGAAGTGCTGTGTGTATGCGTATTCGCAGCAAGCAGTCTGTTAGGAAATTATAAGTAATCTAGGCTCGCAGGAGACCCTGGCAACTCCCAGCCTGGATGTAGCCATTCTGTGGCCTCAGGCAGCAATGTGTCCTCATTCCTTTCCGAGTTACAGTTCCAGGAGCCTCGTCTCCTCCCTTGTTGGAAGCAACATTCCCATTCTCGCTGCCCTGTTCCCCAGAAAAATCGGCATCCACAGACTGGAGCGGAAGCTGCCTGGGTAAAGTTCCCAATGTCTCTGTGGGGAGCCCTCACCAATGGTGCTAGGGAAGGTGTGGTCCTGGCCTTCAGCCACTATACCTCAGGAGGCAATGGATCAGAGAAAGAATATTACAAGCTGTTCTAAGGTTTGATTGCCTATAGAACAGTCAAGGTTTGGAGGACTAGTGTGGGAAGCTAACATAACAGGAACATTCCTTCTGATTCCCACATGATCAAACCACTTCTGAGCTTTTGGACCAGGATCAGCTAAGTCCCCACATAATAGACATAAAGGACTAGGTAGAAAGAGGTGTTCCTGCTCTCCTGGTAAGGAAACAGGTGACAGAGGACACCGTGCTGATAGCAGAGCTGTTGGAGGACTGTGGTTCTTTCCAGGCTCTCCCCCTTTTCCTCCAACAGAAAAGGAACAGGTAGAGACATGGGAAGAAGAAAGTGTAGGAATGAGAAAGGGAAGGAAGTGTCACTGACCAAACAGCGAAACAAATCAGCGACACCTCTCTGCCATCTGCCTGGGCCAATGCCTGTACCATGGACAGGGCCAAGGCTGGAGCACTTACCAGTAACTTGGTCTGATAGATGTCCAGCCCTTTAAAGAAATTGGCTGTGAAAGCTTCCGGCTTCTCAGCCTTCTGACCACAACGCCGCTTCTTCTTTTTTGTGACTTCTGTCCACAGGTACTCGGCTTGCTCCTCTTCTTTGTCTTTGTCTTCCTTCTCTCCATCTTCCACGCTGCAGATATGGGAAACCCAGTCAGCAGGCAGAAGGGAGGGCGGTCTGGCCCCAAAAGGGAGACGAGATTAAAGAGAAATCTGGGTTGAGGGGGCAGGAGGTAGAATCATTCCTTGAGGGTGGAAACTTCAGGTCTCTATCAACCCACAGTGGCTGGACATTAAATTTATATTTCATGGGTGGCGACCACTTGGATGAACCATGATCTTGGTGTACATCAGCTATATACAAGTTTGTACTCTTCTTCTGAAATTAGACTTAACAAATTTTTTCCCCTTCTGAAGTTACCCTTTATTTTCTAAGCAATAGTACCTACTCTTCTAAGCTTCTGGCAAGATTGAACAAGATATTGTATAAAAGACCTGAGCACAGGCCTGACAAATAATAGGTATTTAATAAATATTAGATATCATTGTCGTCAATATATGCAGTTGCAAAGTCATCTGGCCAGAGAGTGAAACTCTGATCTGCCAGTGGGATTATAAACTTAGCAAGATGAATGTAATGTATTTATTATATAGCTAGGGTAAAAGAAAATATACCCAGGGCTTGCAGAATAATTGCTTGCATTGATAGAAATCAAGTTTTCTATTCACTATAGCAACAGAATATCAGATGCTATCAATAACTCTCCTTATTTTCTTTTTTCCTTTTTTTTTTTGTTTTTGTTTTTGAGACAGGGTCTTGCTCTGTTGCCCAGCTTGGAGTGCAGTGATGTGATCTTGGTTCACTGCAGCCTCGACCTCTTGGGCTCAAGCAATCCTCCCACCTCAGCCTCCCAAGTAGCTGGGACTACAGGTGCACATCACCATGCCCAGCAATTTTTGTATTTTTTGTAGAGATGGGGTCTCATTATGATGCCTAAGCTGGTCTCAAAGTCCTGGGTTCAAGTGATCCTCCAGCCTCAGTCTCTCAAAGTGCTGGGATTACAGGTGTAAGCCACTCTGCCTGGTCTAAGAACTATCTACCATAGCAGTTAGAGTAGTTGATGCTACCAAGAACTTACTCTGCCTTCTCGGATTCTACTTTTCCTTCTGCTTCATTTGCTGCTTTCATCTCTGCTGCCTAGACAAAAACAACAATCAGTCAAGCTTTCCTCAAAGAAGCGAGGTCATGATGATGAGACATTTTCTTGGCCATTTGCTTCTTGGTCACAAATTTCAATGGCTTTTCCTTTTCATGTTTCTGCTTCTCTCAGGATCACCGAACATAAGTGTCCTGCTATATATATCAAGTGACTCTGAAGAGATGCCAAGACAAAGATTTGAAACTGGAAAACTCAACCTCCCTTCTCTTACTTACTCAATTCGAAGAGGAAACTTGTGTTAGGACATTGTGAGAGCCTCATGACAGTGGTTCTACTGATCCATGGGGTCAGAAAGAGAT